CCACCAGCTAATTTAGGATTCACACTCATCTGGATGCCACAAGGAAATTGTGATGTTTAACCTCATGTGATTTGACATTTTTTTGTGTTTTAAATGCCAGTGGATTCCTCATGAGTTTGATTCAAACAATAAGCTTTTTGCATCTGCTTCATAGTCCTCAGCTGATACTGTCACCTGTGTGAGTCCTCAGATCGGTAGAACTCCATTGTCCATTTTAAATTTAATCAAAGTAGTAAAATCAATGAATTAAACACAAAACAACAAAACCAGTTGTTGTGAATCAAAATCAGTGTGGAAAAATTACCTTCTGTTAAACCTTTTTCTTCTTTTTCTTTCTCTTTCTCTTCTCTTCACACATCTTCACACCCAACCTTAATGCTTTTCTTATTACGACTGTCCTTCATGGGCCCTAAAGGCTCCGTCCTAATATGGCCATTGACCACTTTATGAGCCGTGTCAACTGATGAGGAAACACCTATAAGGACAAGAAGCAATTCATATATGCTAAATTTATATCTATTCTCACATTATAGTCCAATGAGATATATACAGTGCAGTCACTGACTGCCCTCTGCTGTCTTTGATATTCACACCTGGAAGAATCTAATGAATATTTGCATATTCATCCCCTCACAGCTGAAAACATGGTATGGAAAGGGTGATGTTTAACTCAAGTGTCTCATTTTATGAAGTTTTCGATTGCACACTGTGAGACATAATCATCAAACTGTGAAAATGCAACATGTGAAAAATACCCTGAAGATGACATAGTGGTCTACAGCTGTACTGCAGCATTTATTTCCCCTTTGTCCACTCAGCAGTTATTTTAGGATGATCAGTGGATGTTTCATCTTCTGTCACTGTTTACACAGACGTGTCTTCTCCTGGTTTTGTGGAATATAACTTGATGAAACCTGCTGCATTTTGATAAGCTAATCTGATTTGATTTGTAGCCTATGAAGGTGTTATGGGGTTTGTAAAATAATGCACCCACAGAAGAATCCCCTATCGCTCCCTTTTAAGTATTTACCAGTTCATTCCTAACAACATATCTACATAAAAAAGACTCCTCTAATTCATCATATGAAATGCCATAAAACTTAAAATTGTAAACATCCTGAAAATAAGGCTATCCTCACACAGTTTATCAAATTCACCCAGTTCCACTGTGTTTATCCCAATTACGAGAAGAATTTGCCATCTTTGTTAGAGGTAAATAAACACATACAGACCATTTCTGAGATAAGGATTGATTCACACAGACACTGTAGGCATAGATAAATAATTGCATTATAAGTAAATAGTCTAAATAGATAAACAGATATTGGAAAGAAGTGGCTGTGTCAGTGTGGCCATGCCAACAGCAACAACCACAGCGAGGTCAGAGACAGGGGGGAGAGTGGACGTCAGGGCAGGGGAGTGGATGTTTGTGAATGTCTTTGTGTGTGAAAGTGGAGTGGAGGGGAATATTAAGGAATCAGCTTCATTAACTGGATAAACAAGTATAAGACAGACTCATTATATAAATGGCACTTTCGATTTTAAAGTAAAAAAGAATCTAGCTTCATCGATGTGGTTAAAGTAATCAAAATCAACTCAATAACCTCAGAAGAGGTTAAACCTTCACCCTGGTTTGTACGCTGCCCTTTTGTTTCCATACAGTTTCCATCACTCCCAGTCTCTAAGTGTGAACATTTGCGGTAATGTGATTAACTGTTTTCTGTATAAGCTGTGACAAATGTGTTCAGTTTATTGCCTGTCATCTTAATGCTAAACAACTACACATGGGTGTAGAAAATGAATAGATTATATAGGACAATAGAATCCTTCAATGAATTGCATTTTGCAGCTTGCACCCAGACTAAAATCTGAAATATATGTTTACTGAATCAAAACACTGTGTCATTTTGTCTGACAGCTTCTGCCCCAGCTCCGAATCATCATCATTGTTCTCTCCATCATCACCTACTTGCATCATCATCATCATCATCACCATTATGATGAACTTCAACAGTACTGAGTCCTGGGTTTTTATCAATACTTCATTCCCCATCCTGCCTGTAATAGCCAGTCCCACTAACAGGAGTGGCATGGAAGCTTATCTTCAAAGACTAGCTCATTTAGATGAGGGGCTTTACAATGACTTCTACGGCCTCTGGATCGCGCTGATGGTCATAAACTCTCTCATATTTCTGGTAGGAACGTTTTACAGAGATGTTTTTGATGTTGTACATACACATGCTCTCTTACAACTACACTACCCTGCGCAAACTCTAATTTTCCTCTCCTTTACTTCATGTCTCTCTCGCTCTTCCAGGTGGGGATGGTGCTCAACACAGTTGCACTTTACGTTTTCTGTTTCCGGACCAAGCAGAAGACCACCTCAGTGATCTACACCATCAACCTGGCAGTGACAGACCTGTTGGTGAATCTCTCTCTGCCGACTCGCATCCTGCTCTACTACAGTGGAGGAGCATGTCTCACCTGCTCCTACCTGCATATCTTCAGCTACTTTGTCAACATGTACTGCAGCATCTTGTTTCTAACCTGCATATGTGTTGACCGTTACCTTGCAATCGTGCAGGTGGGTTTTTTTCTGTAGTTTGGTGACAGAATCGGTCTCATTTATGTTCTCCGAAACCTAAATTGTCCCTTTGCAACATGCAGGTGTTATTAACTTATTCTCCTATGCCCTTGCAGGTTGAAGCTTCCCGTCGGTGGAGGAACTCCAGTGTGGCCAAATGTGTGTGTGTCTCTGTCTGGCTGTTTGCCATCGTGGTCACCTACTCCTTCCTCTCCTCTGCTTTTCAGCATACAGGCTGCTGCCTCTCAAAGCTCCTCTTTCTTACCATCACTGAGTTCTTTCTACCCCTCGTCATCATTGTGGTCTTCACCTTGAGGATTATGTGGGCCCTTGCGGACCGCCGTCTGATGCAGCAGAGCAGGTATAAACACTTACATTAGCAGAAGAAAGGAAAGAATACAGAATACCATGTGATTTCAGGTATTCGGGCCTTATTTGCTTGTATTTGGTGCTGAACAAGTTTCAAAACTTAAAATGAAGCTTTTGACACAAGGACATATCATACAAGAACAAAAGGACTAGGGGGAGTGACTCAGATTTGCAGCTCTGAGCAGCTGATGGGATGTCACAGTGATAGTTTTACCTGTGTTCTCTCAGGGAGAGGAGAAGGAGGGCTGTCCAGCTGCTGACCACAGTGCTGATAATCTTCACTGTGTGCTTCACACCCTTCCACATAAGACAGGTGAGTGAGCGACAGGTATGACAGATTAAATGTGAAATCATCATCATGTTTTTTGTGGCCTTTTAACTCTCGAGCAGTCCCAAGATGTCTGTCGCTGCTTTTATTATTATTTATTTATTATTTATTTTATTATTATATTTTTTTTTGGCTATGGTAATGCAATGGATGTTCTGTCTTTTTGTGTTGTAGGTGGTGGTGTACTTCTACCCCGAGATGCCTCATCATGTGATTGTCTACCACTTAACCGTCACTCTCAGTAGTTTGAATAGCTGTATGGATCCTGTTGTCTACTGCTTTGTTACAAATAATTTCCAGGTAAGACTTGAATCTCTTCTTTACTCTCTTTCTTATCATCATTCCATTCATCCCAACATCCTTCCTCTCTACCACCTGTACATTTATCCATTCATCCTTGCCTGCAGCCATCCACCACTCATTTATTCACTTATTGATTTCCTGAATGATTTAGAGCCTCTTTCTCTCCCAGGCCACTATGAGACATCTTTTCCGTCGTGCAGATCCCGAGCAGACCAGCGGAGACATCATCAGCATGCAGCACAGTTCCAAGGCCTCAGGAGCAACGGCCAACGCCATCACAAATAATGTGATCATGATGACCAAGATCCATACAGTGTAAAATCCCCTTTCTTATGGGGTAAGGAGAACTACAGAGATGCCACAGTTGTCTGGGGAACTGTGGTTGATATGTCTGGACTCTGCAGCATACTGACCACTGATAACGGCATCAGTTTGTAATGGTACAGTGCTGAGAGCTCAGGATTGGCAGCTAATGCTGTCCACAATCATTTAATATTGACCAAAAATCTATTCATAAAAAGTGAGATACAAACAAAGCCGGTTCAGCAGCTTAAAAACTTTTACGAACTACTTGAATAAATTACAACACTGACAAGAGACAAATTTAGTCTGCACCCCAACGTTATCATCATGCCAATAGCACCCTCTCATTACTTTTCAGCCATGACACTTCCAAATTCAATACACCAATGACAATGATAGCCACTTTTGTGCAGCAGAGGGCAACATTGCACTCTCATTCAAAGACTATTACAGTATAAGACCAAAGACAATTTTATTAGTCAGGTGGAAGCTCCTTGGATAAACAGGGAGCACCTACATTGTGAATGTTTGAACAGGGGTTGTTGGGCTGTAATCACATTGTTTTATTATAACAAAGTCTGATATTACATGCTGTTGAATGAACACTGTAATTTCATCAACAATGACCAGAGCCTCTCTTGGCAGGAAAAAAAAAAGTCACATTAAACGACATTTGAAAAAGTAGGGTGAAATTTGATCTGGTTATTTTACTTGTCTGATGTTAATGGGATCAAGTTCTAGTGGATGAGTAATAGATGAATGTAATATTGTCGTTTGAGCTTCAAATGTAAAATCAGTCTTAAAAAAGTCTTTAAAAAAACGAGAACGATAAGTAATTAAAGTTTCATTATTGCAATTTGAAATGTTTTACGTCTTTTCAATTGATTGATTTATTGTTTTTATACTATTATCGCTTAGTTTTGTTTTATTGGTATTGGTATGATTAATGAGAAATGAATATAGCCTACTGTAGGTACACCATAGTAAACATTGTAACTGTAATTCCTTATACCCCGTAGGTGAGTAACTTGCTCACGTCATTGATGTTCCCGTTTGACCACGCCCCGCTTTGTTACTGTGGAAACCAATGAGACTGATGAGTGTAGTAAACCAGATAGTCACTCAGTTAGCTGGTAAAGGTTAGCCAGATTGCTAACTCAAATCGAGTTATGCATCAGCGTTATCGCAAATGTTTAAAAAGCGGAAGTGGCTCTATTTCATCTTGAAGGGAGTAATATCTCAGGTATGTTACATTTTCCTGTCTCCATTTTGAGTGGGTCTCTATGTCGCAACTTGCTAATGTTAGCTGTCAAATGTATTAGCCAACGTAGCTCGCTAATGGAACGTTGATCCCGCATGTCAAACCTCAGTCAGTGAAGTTGATGTGTCCAGAGTCAGGTGTTTTGATCCAACCGGACGAAAACACGTAACTATCACCGTGTGCGCCATCCTCACACCCTTAAATGGACTGATAATGCCTCGTTATTAACCTTGTAGACTGTAGAGCGGGTTGGTTGGAAGCTCAGGTAAGAGTTCAGCGTTAGAAAGAGCTGTCTCTTAGCTAAACATGTCGTAACTGGTCCAGCAAGCCCCTTAGACACACACACCTAACGACCATGAATTCCTTTGAGGAACACTAATTTTCAACTCGACTTAGGGGAGGTAAAAAACTTCTATACAGCTGTTACTGCACACAGGAACATGTTATTCTGTCACTCTGTGAGAACATAACGTCAAAAAATGCACGTGGCTGTCCCAAATCTATGGTTTTAAAGCTCAGTTTATTATGTTTAAACATTAACCCTTACGTGACCTAACCTTTATTTGGGATACATTTCATTTGTTTACCTCAGAAAAGGCAGACACAAAGTCACTGAATAAAGACGACAAAGAAATGGTTCTTATCTACTGTATATCCCAAAAATCAAGTCACATCGCAGTTATATGGTTTGTATCAACCCCAGGGGCATGGGATCTACCTGTTTTAACTGAGACCAATTATGCGACAGCTATGGTTTTGCAATATGGGTTGATTTCTTAATGTGGCTTTTGTTCATTCCTCTGATGCCTTTTATAGTCTGCTTGTTAAGCAGTTCAAAGTGTATGCGTTCTGGTGATATCACTGAGTTTAACAGATTCAACAAAATATAAAAATGGAAGTCATTATAGCAATTTAAAGCACTTAAGGTGTGGCAAAACTGCTTGATCCCTCTTTCCTTTATAATGTTATATGATACACATGACAAGTCTATATCCTCCATATACTGTTAGTTCTGTATAACAGGATATGTTATACATTGAGTGTAAACTTGTTGCCAGTGTACTTCCTCGGAGCAGGGCAGCATTTTTCTAAAGCCAAGGGATATTTTGTTTCCCTTTATGGAGCCCAACTGCACTGAAACATTTTACACATGGGAGCCTTCTAGTATTTGGCCCTTGACCCCATATTAACAAAATACAAATATTTAAAGTATGAACAGCAATTCAGAAAATACTTTAAGAATGGGCATGTTAAAATCAATGCATTTATAGCTTCAGTTAATTGTCTAACTGGTTTCTGTTTTTCTGCAGGTTGCTGTGTGACTCAGTGGGTTTTCACATGCTTTGACCCTGACTTGCCCTGAAGTACACTTTGATGCACGTGCACAGACCTCTGCTGACCCACACTCTAATCTTCAAATCAATCCAAATACTGCATGCACACCACTTCCAACACACACTGACTGGCAGCAGCAAACGCAGTTGCAGACCTACTCTGCCTCTTACCACAAACTGAGCTACTGGAAACCATAATACACATATTGCTACCCCTCTCCTCCCACCTCTTCTGCTCCTCCCCTCTGCATACCTCTGGAGCTGTGCTCTGCTCTTCCTGAATTTTGAATTTGTGCAAGCCACAGTGAGGAACACTTCTACTCTCCCGCTGAGTTACTAAGCCGTGCACACTGGTCACTGGTCAAAAGATGGCCACAGGATAAAACATATTTTTACCACATCAATTTTTTGGACACATTAATCTCATTTTAATGATGATTCCTGCCTCCTCCTCAATCATTTTCAGTTCTTTGGTTTCAAACGCAGAACATGCTGACCAGCAGAAATGCTCGCTGATTACTCTTTCTGGATATCTTGGGCTCCTCTTAAACAGCGAGTGATCAAGATGAAAACCATGGACATTAGATGTTCTTTTAGCATATTATAACATAGTAGAGCGTGCTAACATATAAAGGAAAATAGCAATAAGTGGTATACACTAATATATAGCGACCATCAAGCAAAATAAATGGTTCCTCTGAAGTCAAACCATGCTGAAAAGGGCGAAGAAGCAGAGGAGAGGGAGACTTCTGGCCTTCCGGAGAGGAGAAAACCTAAGGAAGAAGTTGAAGAGAATGAGAGTGAGAGTGAGAAGGAGGTGGAGGAGGAGGGCAGAGGCAAGCAGATCCCTCTGCATCGATGGGTAATGCACGGGGCAGTGATGTTTGGACGTGAGTTCTGCTACGCCATGGAAACAGCTTTGGTGACGCCAGTGCTGCTGCAGATAGGTAAGGAGATGCAATACAGTCATACTGAGACAAACACACTCTTGCTCTTCTCCCGCTCAAGCAAATGTTTTAGAAATGTTAAAGATATCTAAAGATGAGAATTCAGCAATATTGACAGCCCCGGAACGTCCACTTTTTAAGTGTTACTCTTACTTACTTTTTCAACTGTGGTAAGTGTGGAACACAGACATTAAGAACTTGTATTAAAACAACTTATACATGACAGATGGATAAGTGCCAACAAAAAACACATACCTGTCTAAATATACATTGCTCGACTCATTCAGAGGTAGCAGAGTTATTAGACCCTTCCCACTTAAAGTACACAGTGGTATGGTAATAGTGTTATCAGTATAGCCATATGATGTTTCAGTGCTGGTGTTTACAATAACTGTAATGTGTAGCATGTTCTGTTTACCCTGTCAGGTATCTTAGGTTGCAGTTTGTTTGTGGCAGTGTTCCCCAGGTTAGTGTCAGGGATCTGGAGGATCAATAATTTGTCCAGATGAGCATCTTGTTGATGGTTCATTTTCTTTATATAAAAGTTCTTGGGTTTGAATTGTGATGAAGGCTGTCACAGCTATCCTAAAAGAGATTCCCATCAGTCTAATTTCCAGCTGCAACAGTAGTCGTAGTAGCAGTCAGGTAACAGCAACAACAACAATGTGGAATTCTACTGTCATTGCGTTAGCCAGGCTGGATCTATTGATCACCCACCAATGTGTCATGTAACCTGTGTGCCCAGCAGTAGCCAACACGGGCTATGCAGTTAAATGTCAGGTTTGCCACCATAGCAGAAATTGAACAAAGGCATTTTTTCCCTGGCTAGGTATTACAAGAATGTCTAACACAGCACATTTCACTCACACAGTTTTCACAATATTGTAAGAAAGACATTTTTTTTAAAAACCTTTAACCATACCCCATTCAGGGTGTTTTTGGAGGCATCCAATTTTGCTTTGGTACTATAAAAGTAATCTTTATGGTAAATGCCACAGAGTCAGTTAACATTGCAGTTTAATGTATCCTTTATGGTGTCCGTATGCTAAATGGGCCTAGAGTCCAATGATAGACCCTCAGATAGAAAAGACATTTAGTATGGCATAGATGACGATTATTGATATTGATTATTGGTCAAAATAGTCTACTAGCAGTAACATGACCTGCCACACTTCAAGTTTGGAATGAATCTTTTCCAAGGGGTGTCCTTTAAAGAGGAAGAAGTGCACAAAAGGCAAAAAAGTAGTAGACTCTGTAGACTGCATCTTTGTTTCCTTGCTCTATCCATTCAGTGATGCAACAGTGTGTGGCAACACCACCTTCAGAAAGATTAACATGTTAAGCTTGGATGAAGTACTCCCAGTTTAAAAAGTTGAAACATTAGCTTTGTGTTTTTACAAGGTTTACTTTGCTATTGACAGCACTGTAAAATCTATATCAATCTATAGTTTGCTGAATTTCCCAGAGAACTTCAAGCATGATCATACATTTATTACTACAGTCTCTCTTGGATTGTCTTTTAGCACAGTAGATGTATCAGGTGGACTCTTATCAGCATTTTTAGGGCAGTGAATCCATACGTTGTTAAACATAAGCATGGATTAGTTCGAATGGGACTTATTATGACTGTCTCAAGGCTACACAGGACCATTTGGTTGTTTATTTTTTATTGAGTACAAATTTTCATGGCATGATTCATCACCATTGATGCAATTATACCACTCCTCATTTTGCTAGCAACAACAGGAAAACCAATGAAGTAATCCTTGATTTTGTAATGTCTGCTTAAATAACTAAATAATTATAATAATTTAGCTAAAGTCATACAAACTCTGCCAAAGAAGAGTACTGTTCCCTGCTGAATGTCTGATCATTCTGAAAAAAAAAGAACTGTATGTTGAATCTTTTTAATACAAACAGTGGAATTTGGATTCTAGTTTTCTCAGCTTGGAGAGAGGCACAGCAAAATGTATTAATCAGTCTCCAGTCTGTGAACAGTGAGCTGAAGTGTGACTGCATTGTCAGCCACTGCAAAGTGCTGTAGCTTTGCAACACTGAACCCAAGCATGATGTATGTTCAGCTCCTTGTGACACAAACCTACCTAATGAGTGTGTCATAGTTTTGCTTAAAGTTATGTTCACTTACAGTGTTACTCACCAAAACACACTGTGTGTATCCTTCAGGTCTAATGAAAGTGTTGAATGCATTTCCTTCCTCATTAAATATTTGTAGAGCCAATTGTTTTTAAACCTGCATTGTTTGCGTCCGTGTCTGTCTGCATGAGTGACCTCGTCCATATGCATGAAACAAACAAAATGGAGACCAACTCATAAAAAAACTGCTCCATAATGCTACTCAAGGTTAAAAAAATCCTCAGGGAACCTTTAAATCTTCCTGTAGGCCTGTTGACAAAAGAGAATGTGCAGCAGTGGGACAGGGAGACAAAAAGCAAGAGTTTTTTCCTATTGCAATGCAGTCATCTGTTGTTGTGTTGACTTAAGAGAGAGGGAAGGCAGGAGCAGAGCAAGGCAACATGGGTAACAAGTTGTTCCCGTGAGAACCAGTAGGCTCACCCAGCCAGCTGACTGGATTCAAATGCATCAGATTTTTACATTAAAACTAAAAGCCCATGTCTTTATATGGGGTGGAAAATTAGGATATTTTCATCTAGCAGAGACTGCTTTTTTTTTAACTTTTTTTTTTACTGTAACTGATGTGCATAGCTATGCATACGTTTTCATACAATATCATTAAAAAGTTTGGACACACTCCTATCCTTGGGAAAGTGTGTCCAAACTTTTGACTGGTACTGTACAAGTGTGCCAAACTGGTACAGTATAAACTGTCCTACCACATTGGTATTGAACTGGCTACAGAAATGTGTGTTGAGTGTTTCCTGATTTCATTTGAGAGCATGATAAAGCCTAGTCTTTACTTATGACAGGGCCAACTGGAGGTGATTTCACCACTTTCCTGGCTGGTTGGTGTGTATTTCTGTCTGTGTTGTAACAGGCCACCTCATTATCTGAAATGTTCCTGCTGCCCTCAAAGCCAATGGTAGAGGAAGCTGTTTAAGAGCACTAGTGGTTCCTCAGCTACGCATTGGTATGCAAGTGCTGTCATGTGCTATGCTTTTATAAACAATGGAACACAGGAAAACTTTCACCTTTTGTGCAGAGAAAAAAAATGAAGAAAAAAAACTTCTCTGCCCAGACTCCAACTGCTCCCACTGGTTTAGTTATTCTGGGAAGTTCCTGCAAGACAAATATATGAATAGGTTGATGTGTTTTGTACCAAGTAATTCAATACAAAGGACATTTAACCTAATAATATAAGCCGATAGTTAAGTAGTCTGAGTTAAAGATAAGGTTCATGATAAAAACACTAAGTAAAACAAATTAAACTCGAATGAAAACTTTTGACAGATCTAAAAAAACGAACACAAAAGACGAACTGAATTAGATGCAGCAAAGAACGTTTCATGTTATGCTGCCTGAATAAAAGCACTAATGGTGAAACATTTAATATTTTTAGCTTGAAACATATTTGTCTTCAGTTTTTCTATTTGCACTTGATATTTGTTGATTTATAGGGCCTGTTAGCAAATGAAACCATTACTATTTCATCAAGTGTCCTCAAATGTCTTTTGTATCATTTAACTGTGTCTTAGGAAATACTGGGAAGACTCAAATCTGTATTGTGAAAGCACTGACAAATTAGCAACAGTTGCTGTAATGATGTGGTTTATTATATTAACTTAGTAACAGTGTGATCAAATATGAAAAGGTATATAGAGACTGATATAAGTTAAAGCAATGCACTTGGGTCAATCCCCTGCTCATGTAAAAAAAAAAAAAAAGAAGTAATCTTGGCTTTAATCTAATTGTACTTTCTTAAGCTGAATATAGCTATTGTTCTGTTCTTTATTGTTTCCAGGCCTTCCTGAGCAATATAACAGTTTAACCTGGTTCCTCAGTCCCATCCTTGGTCTCATCTTCACCCCTGTGATCGGCTCAGCCAGTGACCGATGTACTCTGCGATGGGGCCGGAGAAGACCATTCATCCTGGCCCTGTGTGTTGGTGTGCTGCTGGGAGTGGCACTGTTTTTAAATGGATCATTAATAGGTAAATAGGAAGTGTCAAAGAAGATCTCCACTTCCAAATGATTATAGTTATTGTTTAACCACATCTGTATATATGTTGTGGTGTTCTTTCAGGCCTCTCCATTGGTGATAGCCTAGGCAGCCAGCCAATCGGCATTGTCCTTACTGTATTAGGTGTGGTGGTGTTGGACTTCTGTGCTGATGCCTCTGAGGGACCAATCAGAGCTTACCTTCTGGATGTTGCTGACACTGAGGAGCAAGATATGGCCCTGAATATTCATGCCTTCTCTGCTGGTAAGACATGCTTATATGAACACTAAGACACACAAAGACCGTCCACATGGATCTGTATAAATATCAGCTCTTCAAGAAAACATCTGCAAGGAGTGCATATATGTACATTCTCAAAACTTGCAAATGATCTCAGAATTTGAGCTTTAAATGTTTTAAACATGTCAACAATATAGCCTCAGATATATTAATGTATTTGTCCATGTGCATCTGTTTCTATCCCTGTTTCTCCAGGGCTCGGTGGAGCAGTGGGCTACATGTTAGGTGGTCTAGACTGGACTGGCACAGCTCTGGGGCAAGCATTTAAATCACAGGAACAGGTCCTCTTCCTGTTTGCAGGCATCATCTTCATTATATCTGTAACACTGCACATGTTCAGTATCCCTGAGCGACCTTTCACTCCATCCTACCAGCTTAAAGCCATAGGAAGTGGGGAGTCTACCAGCCAGTTGTATTTCAAGCCCGTTGGCCACGTGCCACCTTCACTTGATGTGATTGCAGAGGAGGATGCTTCTGCTCAAGCCCCTTTCAGAGAGGATGACGAATCAGATCCTGAGGAAGGGGAGATTGATTTTCTTGCGGTGGAGCGAGTGCGGAGTAAGAGTGACTCAGTCTTAGCCATGCCAGATGCTACAATTGAGTTGGATTCCGACCTCGACCCAGATGCGCAACTTTTCCTGCCAGAAGTGCATCACTTTCTACCAGAGACGCAGGGAGAGTTAGAAGATGCTTTCAAGCCATCAGATCACAATATTTGCTCCTCATCTCCACATGCCCTTACTGATGTGATGGTCTTAGAACCTTCTGGCTCAGAGGACTTGCACCGTAGACAGGTGAAGTCAGATGATACAGTTGCAGATGTTTTTTGTGTTAGCTTAATGTGACTTTGAGACTGTGAAACAATTTATTGCCTGCACAGAAACAAATGTCATCAAGTGCCAATATCAACAAGTTATTTGATATGTGATTATTTTCAATAGGCAATATATGGAACTCTTCAGAGACTGAAAACCTCTGTACTGTTTTTCAGATATGTCATCTCATGTGGTCTCTATACATCTCCCCAATCACAGCAGGTCAAGGCTGCCAATGGTCTCAATGCCTGTTCGTCCTCTTCTGATCACTCCAATGCAATAAAAAGCCATGCTTCCACCAAGCCTGGGAACCGCCCCTCCAACTCCTCTGTTTCATCACAGCCACACAGACACACCTTCTACAGACAAGTACAATTGAATTTATCATTTTTTGAATTAATTAATGTAATCGACATAAATGTTTGCTACACATTGCAGTTCAATTTGCAAATGTGAAAAAGCTGACAGCTTGTCTTTTTTTTCTCTCCAGCCTTCTTTTACTTTCTCGTACTACGGACGAGTAGGATCGCAGCGCTATCGACTGCGACGGGCAACACCATCGAGCCCTCAGCGAATCACCACCTCTCGCAGTCTGAATGATCTGAGTGACCTCCAGCAGTGCACAGACAGGCGAGAGATACATCTGTCAGCTAGCAGTCTGTCATCTGAGGGCTCAAGCAGTGAGGGAAGAGCAGACAAGGGTACAACTGTTCGACTGCTGTGGTTGTCCATGTTTAAGGTGAAGTAAATTGGAAACAAATTTTTCTTTTTCTCCTTTGTTACCATTGCACTGCATCACATTTAGTAAGCAAAGTGTCTACTGTTGCAGATTAACAAAGCAAACATTTTTGTGGAACTATTTTCACCTGCTCGTCTTGATTCCTGTTTTTTTTTTTTTTTTTGCCCACTGTAGATGCCGAGGCAATTGTGGAGATTGTGCATATGTCACCTCCTCACGTGGTTCTCCATTATAGCTGAAGCTGTGTTTTACACTGATTTCATGGGGCAAGTCATTTTCAAAGGAAATCCCAAGGTACACACTCGCACACACACACGCCCTCATTATTATTTAAAGAGAGTTGTACTAACTGACATCATTTGGTTTTTTTTATACCATGGAGACCACACAGTAGAGGAATACAGAACATATACACAGCTCACTAATTAGTAATTTATGTGAAATATAAACACTGCAATGTCAGTTATCCAGTCTTTTTGTCAAGTCAACATTGCTATGATAACATTGTTCCACTTTTTTCAGGCACCAGCCAATTCCACAAAGCTACAGAATTATCACAAAGGAGTACAGATGGGCTGTTGGGGACTGGTGGTCTACGCTGCTACTGCTGCTGTTTGCTCTGGTAAAACACAAATGCTGTTTCCATTTTTAGATCAGGATTCACCTAACTACACACAAAAGAAGTGGTGAGTGAACAATTAAACTTCCTTTCCCTTTTCTGACCCTCTTTCCACCCAGCCATCCTTCAGAAGTACCTGGATAATTTTGATCTGAGCATTAAGGTCGTCTACATCGTTGGAACTCTGGGATTCTCAATAGGTCTGTTAATATATAAGAATAAACAGCTGTGAGCAATAGAGTGTATTCCAGTAGATTTAGGAGCAGATGCTGATCGTCTCAGTAGGCATGTAGGTAGAGGGAAATTATATTAAGTATTAACGCTTTTATTACTCCCTATCTTAGGAACTGCAGTCATGGCGATCTTCCCTAATGTTTATGTTGCCATGGTGATGATCAGTAGCATGGGAATCATCTCCCTGAGTATCTCCTATTGTCCCTATGCATTACTCGGGCAGTACCATGAAATCAAAGAGGTATGTACACACACACACACACACACACACACACACACACACACACACACACACACACACACACACACACACACACACAAACAAAAAGCTATTCATCCATGTTATATAGTTTTCATGTATCATTTTTTCTTGGTACTAACAGGTACTTAACAGAATTTTGAAATGTGTTATGTAGCATTGTTCAGTCAAGTGTAAGAACATTACAGCAATTGCAGTCGATGTGATATAGTCCTATTTGTTCTGTCTTGTCTCCTGGGACATTCATGATGTAGCTGTTGTCACACAAATCATTAGCCTCAGCCCTACATTATTTAAGGAAAATGTAATTTTATTTAACATCAAATGCTTATCTTACTGAAAGCCAAAAACATTTAATCTGAAAACCTATAAACTGAAAATCTAGAGAGACAATATTCGGGCTGAAGTTACAATCTCTCCTCTTGTTTACCTTTCCTCAGTACATTCACCACAGTCCAGCAAACACTCGGAGAGGTTTTGGTATTGACTGTGCCATCTTATCCTGCCAGGTGAGCATTCACACTTTTTAGACCCAAATTTAAGTTTCCTGTTTGCTCTCAACTTAAACTGATGCAGCAGTAATACACAGGTTACATTTAGTAAGTGGAACCAGCAACACCCAAACGTGAGGTGATTCTTGATCTTCTTTGAATGAATCCACAGAGTGCATGGTTTAGGCTGTGGGCTGTAATAACACGGCGGTGGTAATGAGAATTGGTGAATGCCATTACAGTTTGTATCACAGTACTTTTCTCCATTTCCAGGTCTATATCAGCCAGATTTTGGTTGCGTCCACCCTGGGAGCTGTGATAGAGGCAGTTGGCAGCGTGCGGGTCATTCCTGTAGTGGCCTGTGGAGGCTCCTTCCTTGGCTTCCTTACTGCCTGTTTCCTCGTCATTTATCCTGACATGGAGCCCAGCAGCTCAGAGCAGGACCAGGGCTTGGTGGATACGTCTGGAGATTCAGACCAGAATAATGAAAGAACCAGTGACCAGAGACTGGCTCTGCTGAGCATCACAGACGGAGACAGTTTAAAGATGACAGAGAATCACTCTGTTGCATAAGCATGAAGACGGAGCATAGTTAAGGTTTATCCTCACCAAGTACAAGCCATAGCATGCGAGGATTATACCAAATGCGTCTAATTTACATATTTGACAGTCTGTGCTTTTCTAAAGGAGGAAAGATATCAAAAGAGGGGAAACATGACAGAAAGTTGATGACCCATTTACAGAAATATGGGAAGGATGGATTTGGCTAGATATCTTCTTGGAGTAGAGGACTGAATTAGCTCAGTTTTAGGCTGCTCTGCTTGTCCTGTTGCTACCTCAACCCTAATACAGGGTTTCTGCGGGTCCATAAAAAGTCTAAAATCCAATAAGTCTTAAGTCTTAAATTTAACTTGTTGAAATCTGCAGAAACCCTGTAATAAATACATATAAATGTTTGGATGGATAGATGTAAGCCATTAAAACACAGAGCCACGTAACAGTGATTTGGTCAGACTGTTGAAACCCACTTAGCTCAGACTACTGAGGCAAACACAAGCCTTTATTGCGAAAACATAAATGGGAAGCACACGAGGCACTTTCTATCTCACTTCTGAACAGCACTGTCACACTGATGCTCCAGAATGTTTGACCTTTGACTTCACGGAAGCTGCTCTATAATTGCTATTCGGACAATTGTGATGCTGTAAAGGTGTTACTTTGTGTAGCTCTGCATTACATGTAGACTGAATACAGATGTGTATATTAGTTCCAGTCTGTTCTGGGAATACCTTGAAATAACATTGTTATTTTATGTCACAAAGTTTCCAAACTACGCGTATAATCTTATACATTTGTTGTAGACATACACAAAACAGTTTGTTTAATTTCATACACTTTTTTATTCACATTTATGGTGTTGGAACCTGATAACATAACAAGCTAGTCTGCAGTTCAAAGTGCTCTTTTATGATTTTTTTTAATGATCGCCTATACAGATGCAGCAAAATATTCTGCTATATTCTCCTTTCATGCCATGATAGACAGGCAACATGCTGTCATAATGTAGTTAAGATACTAAGCCTGCACTGTAGTTGATAGATGACAGATTTTTCACTGCCATTACCGTGAACCTACACTGTAAATGGTAGGTTCTCATGGCCTCTCATATTTGACCTCAAGGGGTTTTGGGTTTCAGTGTGATTATATTTCAGGGTGTCATTCATTTTGCTTGAATTCATTTTAAAGATGTTTCGAAATATACATTCCAAATAGTTGAAATGTTGAAATGGGAAAATAGTTAATGATGAGCTTATGTTTATCATAGCATATTTGTCATATACAGTCTTTGAAAAATAATTGGATAGAAATACTTATTTAGCCTTGTAAAAGGGATTGGCCTTTCTGTTTGTACTTTGTATTGGAGGCCTTGCTTTACATATTAGGTTACTGTGCCTTTCTGATCATATGACAGCTGTAAAACTCTGCCTTGCTGTACATAAAGGATATATAACAAGATAGATAGCACCCACACTGCCGTGTGTGAGTTAATCTCAGAATTACAGACCCTTTCCAAAAAATTAGAATATCATGGAAAAGTTGTTTAATTTCCATAATTCCATTCAAAAAGTTAAACTGACATAGATTATAGATTCAGGGCCCACAATTTAAACGATTTCAAGTATGTATTTGTTTATTTTTACATAATTTGGGCTTCCAGCTCATAAAACCCACGAAAACAGGAATTCAAAAAATTAGAATACTGTGAAGAAATCACCATTTACTTCTCAGCTCCAGCAGGCAATGCCACAGGCTGATTGCCTCAATGCCACGTCACATCAACCCAACCAAGTATTGAAGATTGACATATCGTTTTGAAAGTACAATATTTTGATTGATTTGATGTGATCCTAATTTCTTTCTTTTTTTTCTGCAAAAACTGAGAAGTAAATGGTGATTTCTTCACAGTATTCTAATTTTTTGAATTCCTGTTTTCGTGGGTTTTATGAGCTGGAAGCCCAAATTATGTAAAAATAAACAAATAAATACTTGAAATCATTTAAATTGTGGGCCCTGAATCTATAATCTATGAAAGTTTAACTTTTTGAATGGAATTATGGAAATTAAAAAACTTTTCCATGATATTCTAATTTTTTGGAAAGTATCTGTACAAACATGAAAGGTACCAGAGAGTCTGCTGAGGATTATTATGTGTTTAGCATAGTCTCTACCACACTTTAACACATAATTTAGTGTGATGAACCTAATGTTATAAGCTACAGACTTATGTACAGTCTTACTTTAACAGCCTAGTGTCTACTCTCTAAAGGCTCATCTTCAGTAGAACCTTATCTCTGCTGAATTTGAGAGTTGGTGTAAATGCCCAGGGCAGCCTTAAACTCACTGTTCATTTAATTTTGGAGTCTTTAATGTCACGTGGTTTGAAACTGTTCCAGAGACCTATAATGCTGCATATCAAATGGTAGAGAGGACCACTTCTATGCAAGACCAATGACTGATCTATGCAAACTTGAATTTCCCTTGGCTGGGGTGTTATGACCAAATGAGCCTAGAAAACAAGCACAGGACCTTCTCACAAGTGAAAACACTTCAAAGGTTCTCACACGTCTGAACTCTGAGCCAGATGTTTATTATCATTACACCCTTGAAAGACTTTTTCCTTACTCTGTCTATCAGTATTTGGGAAATGCTTACAGTATTTGCTGGGACCCTGTATCCTGCTAACTATGCCATTGCTTTGCCTGTCATGAGAGAAAAGTGTCTTTTATGGTGTGTTCACTGTCATTTAGGATTTAAGGCCTCAAGATTTACACAACCTGATTTACAAGCACTACAAAGGGAACATCCTCATTGTTTGGATTTTTGCATCAGATATCAAAGGGAAAGTGTTGAGACAATTAATACAAAATAATATAATTAATAATTATTTCTTTTTGTAAATAATGCAAGTGTGTGTGACATGTGGCATGTGCCATCATGTTCTTAGCAAATTGTTCTGGAGCTGTTCTTTAAAAACACCTTTTGAAGAGATGTAAGGGTATATAGTTTTGTTAGTGGTTGAAATTCATTTTTGCTAATGTTATGTTTTTCAACTGATATACGGTACTAATCCAATTGCATTATAACGAATCAGTGTAAATTAAAACAGAGCAGGAAATTTCCAGCTTGGAATCTGTGGAAACTTTTTCTTTTTCACATTTTTTCCCCAAGAAATTGAATGTTTTCTTCACAGCATACACTACTGTTACAGTAATTAGTTGCTTTAGTTTGGTTTAATGATTCATTTAACTTCAGCTGGTCTAAATGTTTCAGGGATATTTCCATCTCACTAAGAAGCTCTGTCTGTGGGAAATACTCGTGTTTTCATGCTGAATAAGAAAAATAATTTCTTGGAACCAGCCCCTGGCTCATTGAAATTGTTTTGATTTTATACAAATGTTAAGACTTTTTGGATGATAGTCTGTATTTTATTTTGAAATCACTGGTGTGTTTTTAAGTGATTTTTTGATTCTTTTTGCTGCTGTACAGATTTTTGTACAATGTAAAATGGTATTTTTGTACCAGTTATTTGAAAAAAAAACAAAGAATTCACCCTCAGTTGTTTCAGTGTTTTTATTATCAATCCCTCACACGTTTCTCCCTGCAGTCATTATTTGCTTTCTTGCTTTTCTTTCTATTCTTTTACAGATATTTGGGATTTTGTAATTATAAAAAACAAAACAAAAACTGAAGCAAAAAACCACAAGAAATGAATTAGTGATTTTAGAAAAAGCCAGGAGGTGTGAATGGTTATTTGCAGTTATAGGTTACAAGTAATAGTTAAATAATAAGTGTCATAATACAGGCATGTCAGGAACTTGTTTCAACAGACTATAATCCCTCTTTGCATTTTATTTCTTTGTATCTTTCTGTATGAATTAAGTTTGCTGTTGGGTCTACTAAAGTTTTTTTTATTCTATTAATTTTGTTGTAATAATTTACATTTTTACTTTTAACTATGGGGGGAAAAAATAAAAAACGTGAAGCACGCCCTCACAGTTATAGGCTACACTTTACAAATTGAGTGCTATCTGGCCGACTGTACATTTACATTCAGTCAACCACTGTCACCTTCAGGTCACGGTGGGTTATTACAACAGGCAAAACCTACCATGATAATACAGGATTTACATGTTTTTGAAGTTTTTTCTAGTCTAAAATCAGTCGCTGCTTACACAGGTGTTTGACAGGAAGTCACATCAGAGCATCTGGACATAAATGTAAGATGTTTTTTTTTTTTTGTTTTTTTTTTTTTAAAATCAGATGTCACAACTTTAAACTCGAGTTTAGTAGCATAAGTGTCGAAGTGGCTCCAATATTAGATCTGTGAGCGTGCTTGGATGTAGAAAGTGAATGCCTGTTACTCTAATGTGAAAAACTTCATTTACTGCTTTAGTCAACTAAGTTTTCACTGGCACTGAACAGATTATTCGAGAAAACACTGTAGAGCCTAATTATGGTACAAGATCTAATAATTTTACAACATTATTCTGTGACACTGGGTTGTGCTTCCTCAAACCATCAACGCGCATGTTTGTCTCTGCACACACAGAAACAGGAAGCGAACTGATAGTGATCATGGGAACTGAATGAGCCGGTTTCATTCAGCAGCGGAGAAGTTTGCTACCAGTTCGGCACCGGGATGCAGACATGAATATATGGATGAGGAGCCGCACGGAGGTCTGTGAGGAGGTCAGTGACTTGATATAGAAGTTTTAACCATGAGTTATTCATCTAATTGTGCGAGTTCTGATCTTAACTGATCAGCTGAGTCGCGTCTGAGGTGTAGAGGCAGATTGGAAGCATCCTCTTACCTGCACAACTTGTGACGCTGGATCACGTGTCACACCAGCAATAAAACTGTTTCAGCTGATCATTAAACTTTAATGAGTAAAACCCATGAACTCTAAATTCTTTGCTAAAACCACATTCTGTGTAGGCATGAGCATACGCAAACTTTGGATCCTAACAGTGTGACGGTGATTTTTGCCTGGACACATTCACAGTAGTTCATAGCAGAACTCCATGTGCAATGATTTTGTTTGTTTTGCTACTGACTTCCAGTTACCTATTTTTAGCTTCATTCCTACATAATGACTGGAACAGTCAGCCTCTATATTTCCTTGACAGGTGATATTCTGGTTAGGTCTTTTATTAGCTACATATAATTATTTAAAGAAGTAACAGAAAATAATGTTAATTTGCTCATGATATAAATTACGTCAAATAGTAAATGTGCCGCCTTCATGAAAACTGGAAAAAGTACCCTGTTTACATACAATTTTCTGGATTTGCATGTGAGCAGATCAAAGGGGTGGACATCTAAAAGCTGGAGACATCAGACTGTGTTAGTTGCTTTTCGAAGCTGTGATTATAGCCCACTTTTTATTTCCATGTAATTGATTATGATGGTCAGATTTTTTTTTTCTAGGTTATGTTTCTGGCTGCCAGCTTGCTCCAGAAATGACAGTCAGCCTTCTCTTCTGCTTGTATTCCTGTAAATTCTTGGTTATGGTACTCCCCCCCCTCCCCAGCCCTGAACCTTCACACTACCTTCCTGTGTTTGAAGGAAATGTTTGACCCAGATCTCACTGCAGGCTTGACCGCTTCAGATCTGAAAGACAGAAATGTCAGATTGTTGTGTGCTCATGTCAGTTATTGTGCTGTGACATTATCAGAAGACGTAACACTAGTCCATATATTGCATCTAAAAAGATTACATTCTTATGGGTTGATGTGGGATTTTCCCTGTTTTTTCCAATCATCACATGACTGCTGTAGATTATGATGATCGTGTCACATCCTCAGACTAATAATGAAGGGACAGCAGCCAGTCATGTGGCATTCTCTCTAATGGGAAATTAGTAAAGTTATGCTGAATGTTCTCGCTGCTGATGGTTAGTTATGATTTCATGCATGTTTCCTAGGGAGAGCACTTGAAGTGATTTTAGTCTTAATGTTTCTTGCAGCTGGCTAAAGGTCCTTTCGTGATGAGGCTGTTTTAAGGTGGACTTGATGTTAACATTTCATCTGTGCAGCCCATTCAGTGTGGCCCAGTTACAAGTCATGTTCTCTGTGTTTTCGTGTGTATGTGTGCCTGTCCTCCTCTGCGCACATGAGCTTAATTTTCCAATAAGACCGTGTGGTGTCTCAGCTGTATGGAAAGAGTAGCAGACCATGGAGGGGGAATGATAACCAATGATCAGATAGGGTGTAGAAAAATGAATCTCTGCTTTGTCACAGACTGTGAAAAATACTCACGAAATGATGAGTGACAACTGCTTTCATGCCAACATTTTCCCTGTTGAGTTTAATGCAGTTTAACGGATTCAGTTGTTTTCCCAAGTTGTCATAGGAATTTCTCGGGACACCTAATGGGTGCCACTGCTGCCACAGTCTAAAAATGACAAGCTGATAATCTGCTGGCAACAATGTTTTGTTCCACACATTTATTCATGGAGCAGTAATCAATACCACAGTGCATTAGAGCCATAAATATAGACATTGTAGTACAGTATGTTGTGTGGGTGTCAGTGAGCTGATAAGTTTAAGCATGGACTGATGGAGAATTTCCTCTTAATATTTGTTTGCAGTCAGATTATAGCAATGATACTATATTTAACTTTTGTAGCTATAATAATTACTGAGAGGCTGTTTCTACTTTCTCCATCATGTGGTGGAAAAGAAGGTCTGACTGCATCTGTAAAGTTGTTGTTGATGAGACGAGCGGCAGCGATAATGAGCTGCAACAACCACTCTGTCATATGTTGTGACTTTATTTAGCTGATCAATTTTGTTCTCATGTAGAGAGATAAAGATAAGAGGAACAACTGTCTCCCTTGTTAAAAAAAAAAGCCAAAATAACTATAAAATCTGTTTTTTTTTCTTCTGTGATCTGTATCTCTTGATCTTTGTCACTCTGGTTCCTTTGACTTCTCTCTCTGTGTTTCTTCTCTGCTGCTTTCAGCGGTTGTGATCTAGCAGGTCTGAGTTGGCCCTTGGTCGAGTTCTGCTGGTCCAACTAGGTCCTGGACTGGTTTCAGTGATGGCGGACCATCTGCCTCCTGCTCTGCTGGAAGCCTGCGTAGTAGTAGGAGCATCTGTCGACAAACTCAGGGAGGTCTACCAGGTATTTGCCTTCAAACACCTGTAAACCTAATATTTTCTTATCTTTATCTTTTTATCAACCCGGCTAGCTGCTAAAAAGCAGCTTCAGTGCAAACTTTAAACTGCACAACAGCGACATGTAAAAATGCCCAGAAGTCCAAACTGAACCAACCCAGTGGGCCAGACAGCAAACATAATAACAATGCCCTAATGATCCTAAAAAGCCATGCTATCTGTGTTGATTCCCGTCCTGTCTGCCACTCAGGCTGTTAACAATAATGGAGGTCTAGAGCATCTGCTGTTGGAGCCAGAGGTCCTGCATGTCTTGGCGCCTCCCTTTGTTAGCAGACCACAAAATGAGTGTGAAGTGGTGAGGCCACGTGGGAAGAGGCGGCGCTCCTTTCTCAGGAGGAAGAGGGAACAACCTCCTTCAGCTGCTGCTGCTGCTGCAACCCAGAGCCAAGGTTTGGTACCTGCTTGTCTGGTCTGGTACACCCGCTGGTCACTTACCTGTACATACATAGGAGGTTTTAGTTTATTCTCAAATATTGAAAATCTTTCCTTTCCATTCCCTGTGCAAACTGTTTTAACCATATTATCATCAGTGATCGGTATCATTTTTGCTTTATAGTGTTTTAGCTGCTGATATTTTTGCAGGTGGAGGAGCAGAAGGAAGAGGAGGAAGTGAAGATGTCAGTGTGCCCAAAGACATTGACCTCATGGCTTTGCCTCAGCTCTGCTTCCCTGGTATTTAGTGTCCTGGTTTGAAGTTTGTGTTATAACAGCCTCTGAAAGCACTGACTGTAATCCCTCAAACATCATTATATTGTCATTATTGAGGTACTTGCTTCAAAAAAATTAACATCTGATTTTGTATATGCTGTTCAGCCATAGAGCAGCATGAAACTCACATCTTGTAATTGTATAATTGCAGCATATCAGGTCAATGTGATAACGTGTGAATATATATATTTTTCTTTCTACCAGATGGGCTGCAGGTCACTAATGAACAGAGAGATGAACAGTTTCACTTCCTGGTTTTCACTGATGTCTTTGGCAACAAGTCCCATGGAGTAGTAATGCAGTGTTACCGACCAATACTGGTACACAGCGCTACACGCACTACATCACACACTGCAACGGTTAACTTACATCCCAACTGTGTTTTACTGCTACAACCAGATTTCTAACCTGCAATGCTCATTGTGCTGCTGACAGGCCAGATAACAAGACATTTTAGGTGCAGGCATGGGTTAACAAATTCATTCAGATAAAACTAACCAGACCTTAAATAAAAGCAAGTCACTCTCGGATTGTCTTTCCTGTGTTTTCGCAGGAAGGGATGTCTTCCTTCCACAATGGAACCGGGTCCTCTAAGTTTTCTACAGTTTTCTCTGCCTTCAGTTTCTGTGTAATATCCAAGTATCCGTACTTCACTGCGCTGAAAGACTGTCTGTCCTGGTGAGAGAGAGCGTGCCCAACCAAACTGCTTTGCTTGGCAATTTTTAAAAACCAAATGGTTTTGTTTGTTTCATTATTACTAAGATCTACTTGTCAGCAGGCCAACAGCGTGTGTGTAATGCATATTTGATCTGAAACACAGCTTAACTCTTATTTTAAGAAAACCTCTGAGGAATCTTTTGTCTGGTAACTGAATCTAAGGTTATTTGTTTGCATCAATTCTTGTATGTCTCTCCATCTGTTTCTTTGTCAGCCTGTTAGTCCAGCTGAGAACTTGTCGTTTATCAGACATGGAGGAGAGAGTGAAGGAGTTTGCAGCCAAACTGACACTTGTGCCCGTCCCACCTCCTGTGACATACTTACATTTGGTGTGTGTGTGTGTTGTGTGTGTGTGTGTGTGTGTGTGTGTGTGTGTGTGTGGTGTGGTGTGTGTGTGTGTGTGTGTTGTGTGTGTGTGTGTGTGTGTGTGTGTGTGTGTGTGTGGTGTGTGTGTGTGTGTGTGTGTGTGTGTGTGTGTGTGTGTGTGTGTGTGTGTGGTTGTGTGTGTGTGTGTGGGGCCAGGCTACAATGATTTGAAGATCTGTTTACTTTGTGGTCACATGTCCTAAAAATGTTTACATTCATAATCACATGTGCCAGAAGTTAGTTGATATAAGAGCACCAACTGTAACTGTGTATGTTTTCCAGATGTTTACTTTGCGTCCCCTGACCATTGTTTTACCATCCAGTGAAGACAAAGACCACCCAGCTATAGATTTAGACCTCCATCTACCTTTCCTCTGCTTCAGGCCACAGCAACTACTGCAGGTTATTACACACACCTGTATTGTTGTATTTGTCAGTGAAGCACAAGGAGGATCACATTGAACCTCATGCCTCTTTTTCCATTTATTTGTCTTTCTGTCTCTGTCTCTGTAGGTGATGTCTTGTCTCCTGCAGGAGCAGCGGGTGGTGTTATTTTCTTCTGACTGGGCCAGACTCACACTGGTGGCAGAGAGTTTGTTGCTTTTCCTGCAAGTCAGTTCAAAATTTATGTCTGCACATCTGCACAGGGCAAAGTAGTGTTAAAGTTAATCATAATTTTTTATTGAATTTAACTGGTAACTATGAGATCAGAATGACTTTTCTCACGTTAAATTAAGTTTCTCCCACTGTTTAAAAAGGGAAAGACTCAAACACTGGTTTAAAAAGCACAGTGCTACATGGCTTGTGGTTGTTAAAGTAAAAAGTAGAGCAGGGCTGCAGTTGGAGGCCTTAATAAAAGCCCTGCTTGAGTAAATGTCTGTCTTTGGAACCTGAAACTAAATGTAAGTTATGAAAAAAAGTTACAGCACATTACAATCAATAAATAATGATAATGATCAAATGAAAATTTTAACCCATAGCTTACTATTATGTTTATTTTCTCAACATATTACTATTTTTGCTGATTCATTTTGGACATGGTAAAGTCACTTTTATGCAATTTAAGAAGCCATCCTTTAATATTTTGGTCCATGGGTTTGTTCATCCATATCTTCCTGATCTTTCCTCCAGCCTCTGTCATGGCAGCAGCCTTATGTTCCTGTCCTGGCCAGAGGCATGCTGGACTTTCTCATGGCTCCGACTGCCTTCCTTATGGGCTGCCATCTCAGCCATTTTGAAGAGGTTGCTGCCGTAAGTACACAACCTTCCCACTTAAAATTTCCACCACAGGATATCAGAGGGATGTGGGTTTGCTGCTGTTTTTGTCTTTGGCCACAACTTATTTTTTTTAATTCATCTAAGAAAATCTAAAGCAAAGAAGGTTATATACTTGAAGTTCAAATACAGTTTGCTAAGTTGTTGTTGTCAGTTCGAGTATACCTTATTTGTAGGTCATATGTTCTTTGGTTTCTGGTTGTTTATGTTAATGCATATTGACGGAATTTTTACAGATCAAAGGAATAAACGGAGAGATGAATGAAACATTAATTTTTACCTTGACACTCTTTTATCCAGGAAACAGATGATCTGATCTTAATCAACATTGATAGTGGAAGTGTCTCTACTTCCTGTTCTGATACCGTTGACCTTCCCAACATTCCTCCAGCTGCTGCAGACTGCTTCACACAGAGGTACTCATTATTATTATTCAAGTAACTAACTGTACTGAATAAAAACACTAGCAGGTACATATACTGGAGACTTGGAAGTGTAGATCTTTTATTGACGGTAAGCGTCTCTCGAACTAGGCCAGAGGTATGGAGACGTAGCCACTGTCGGTTTGTACAGTCTGAGTATGTTTTGCAGGAGTCAGTCTCTGCAGATACACTTTGACTTGGATCAGTGCCACCACAACAGCTGCACCGACATCAACGAGCAGCGGGCGCACAGAAGAGCGTGGCAACAGAACCTCAACCATGACATCCAGAGGATCACGCTGGAAATGATTGTCAACATATTCAGGTTGTGTGTGTATTCTTTGGGTATTAAGATACAATGGGATTGTTCTCCTAAATGATATAATATATTTTGTTAATATTTACATGTATGTATTTTACAGGGATGTTAGTTGTCATCTTAACTATGAACATCGAGTGTTTAACAGTGAAGAGTTCCTGAAAACCAGAGAGCCAGCTGAACAACTTTTTTACAAGAAGGTAAAGACTGACCTGATAGAAAAAGTGATATTTTTCTATTATAGTATTTTCTATTGTTTTACTTGAATGGACGACACCTCTGAGCAAACATGGGATGCTGGGCCGGATGCGCATCTTTACATCAGCATGACTGTGTTGCAGGTGCTGGAGACATACATCTTCCATTCCTTCCTCAAGGATCGTCTCAACAGGAAAATAGACAATTACGCTCGCATGGAGCTCAGCACTCGTTCAGAGATGCAGAAGTAAGATATTAAACCGATCTGATAATCTTCAGACTGACCTATAACACATTCATGAAGTTCACCACTTGATCTGTGTGTATTGATTATAAATGAAGTTGATAACACCTCTTGGTATAAATCAGTACAGTTCAAAAGCACCACAACTTACAGCCTCAAGAAGGACCACACAGTTGTATCAGCACCTCTCTAAAACAACAAAAACTTTACAAACATTTTTTTTTTTTATTAAACTGGGAACTAAGTGTATGTTGAAATTCCCTTTTCCTACTGTATTTTTTTTTCTGACATATTTTCTTCATCTCCTTTCCGTGCTGGAGCAGTATCCATGCAATGCATTGTTTCTATCATGTGTCCTCAAGGATGAAGGCTATGATTGAAGTCCCACGGAGACCCACCATGCAGGAGATTCAAGCCCGGAGAAAGAGCTCCATCACAGAGAACAGGCTGAATAAAAGACTGGGGATGAGCCTTCCTAACCTGGGAGATGCCCAAACTATCAGCTTCAAAAGAAACTCACTGCTGACTCGGATCATCGTGTCTGACCCTGGTGAAGCTAAAGAGGGATATACCCAATTTTATGTCTTAATTTATATACAGGGGTACAAACAAGTGGCAATAAACAATTTAACATTTCCTCAATTTTTCTTGCTTTTCTTGTCCTCTCCTCCTCCACCTCCTCCTCCCCACATCCTCCACTCTGTCTTTGTCCCTTAGCGCTGAGAACTCCTCCTAAGCCTGTAAAGGTGTTTAAACTCCCAGACTTCCCGGCGTCGCTGTCCTTCCACTCTGTCCAAAGTTATTACAGTGAGCTCATCCAGCAGCTCGGCAAGGCCATCTTCTCCGTCCAAAACGAGAACTCTACTCTGCTTGCCAGGTACTCTGCTTTCATCATTTTCTACGCTCCTCCCGCTATCGTTTCAAGAACAACCCTGTCATTCCTGTCTTCTTCATTTTGATTTGTACAATCAAATGTTTTTCCACTTCTCATTGTTGGTCCGTTGATTCTCTTCACTCTCCGTCTGTTTTAACTCCTCTGTTTCCTCCTCTTGTTGAACGTCTTTAATCCACTATAAACCTTGTCTTGAATTAAATCATTTCCCCTCTGTAGATTCTACTACTTGCGTGGTTTCATCAACACGTTGTGTTCACGGCGGCTGGATGCTCTGAGTGATTTCCAGAACCTCTACAAGACAGACACCGCCATCTTCCCCACACAGCTGCTCACGTGGCTCGTGGATTCGCTGCACCGAGACGAGAGACAGCAAGCTGACAGACGACCTGAACTCAAGAGACTCATCCTCAAGGTCAGTCGGCTCACGCCTTCATTGTCACCTCTGTTGTAGAGGTGGTTGGTTGGTGATAGACAGTATGTTTGCTGGTGTGATATAGCTGCCTCTGATGGAGATTACTTAGCGATGATGTTGGTGATCTTTACTTTTTTTCTCATCTATTAGGTGAAGACAGAGAATGAGAAGACATTGGTGCAGCCCGACGACCATGTGAAGAATTTCGAGCTTCCTCGTAAGCATCTGCATCAGGACGACTTTGTGCGGTGCGTGCAAGAATGTGGGATTGTTAAGGATGTGGCGACCATACACCGTTTATTTGATGCTCTCACTGATGGTAAGTGAAGGAAAGGAAAGCTGATGTGTGTAGATTAGATAAAACTTTTGATTTCTGTTAAACATGTACAGTGTGAGTCAAAGTAAAGTCTTATTAATGCTATGGTGCTGATTTAAAATCCAAATCCATGGTGACAAATGGGTGAATCTTTAAGGCATCTTGTCGCTTAGGCATCTTAAGTCCTGCGATTAGATGAGCTCTGAGCTAACGTAATGGAAACAGAAAGCTAGACGCTGATCATTTTCGTCACCAGCATTAAACAAAAGAATTTTGAATTGATTACACCAGTGGCCGCCGACATGGTGGAATCAATCAGCTGTCAGATGATCTGTTACACTCGTTTAATGCTCTGTAAGCATAAAGTACAGTCTGTTCAGCATGTCCTGTCACACACTCACTCACATTGTTCAAATGAACCCTGCTAAATGTAAATGTAACACAAGTGTCCAACTGAGGGTACAGACACATGATAATGTAAATCTCATAATTGTAAATTCAGCATTTTATGTCTGTGTGTCTTAACCAGGCACAGATTATAAAGTCTTCAGACTGTCTGACTGACCTCTATCCTTTTGGAGTGCTCTTACAATGGTTTTTGGATTTCTTTCTTGACAGGTTGAACCTGTCTGATATAGGATTTTTGAGGCTGATAGTGATATTTCAGAATTTAAAAAATCCCATCAGGTGGCCCAATATTAATTTTCTTTGCACAACCCCTAACATAAATAAATGGACCTTTTAGCATTTCTGTTCTTCAGCTCATTATTATTTATCGGCTGACATATACGCTGATACTGATACATCTGCAATGAACTAATATCAGCCTGGCCAATTTAATCTCTAATGCCTTAAAGCTGCACTAATCAATACTCTGAGCAGTCGCTCATAGTGACAAAATGGCAGAGAATTAGGATCCAACTCTGCGGTGTCCCTCGGCATTTTAGAGTTGTTTAGATCATTGATTTGGTTCAGTCTCATCACTATTGTTTTTCACCTTAAAAACTGTTGCTACCTGCTCAGCACCAAGTAGCAGACAGACAAAGTCAGTGAGTAGCTGGTGAACATATAACAGCTAAAGAGCCAGATATGTTGGTAGAGACCAAAACTAGAGCAAAAGAATGAGTAAATATTGGTCTTAAATTCATCAGGTGGCCAGAAATATGTGAATGTTGAGGTGCCTTTGTGTCTGCTGGATGTGCAAATAAGTAACTGTGAGCTAATAGTTCCATTGATAAATTGCTTTGGTCATAGAACCAAACAATGGGCGACAATGATCAACTTTCTGATGTGTATCCAATATCTAATTTATTGTTTTCAGTAAGCCACATCGTGCGATATAAGATAAGACAATTTGTTAATCTTCAGAGGAAAATTTTGTATTATAAATTTCTAGTCATTAAAGCTAATCTGTAAATCAAAGGAAAAAAGTCTGTTTAGAGCAACAAAAAACATGAGAGAAAAAAAAACGTGATAGCGGTCATGAAATGACTCATGGTGTGTTACACCACAGACCCATATCACACACAGTCTTTGAAGTGTTTTTTTCCCCCACCAACATGTTTTTCCCCATCTTTGTTTGAATTTTTATCTGACGTGAAAAGGAATCATGCATGGCTAGATGGATGTAAAAAACAGACAGGACTGAACACCATATTTAATCTGTAAATGTACATGTTTTCTGCTTGTATTTGCACGTGTATTTCTTTGTTTTGCATACAGTATGTTTGTCTGTCTACATACTGCACATGCCGCTCTGTGTGTGTGTGTCGTAGGCCAGCCAAAGCAGGTCGATCCCGACCTCTTCAGAGTTTTTTACACCTTCTGGAAGGAGACAGAGGCTGAGGCACAAGATGTCAACCTGCCCACTGAGGTCATCGACCACCTTGACAATAGCGAGTGTGTCTACAAGTTGTCATCCTGTGTCAAGACCTCCCATGGCGTTGGCAAAATCGCCATGACGCAGAAACGTCTGTTCTTGCTGACTGAGGGTCAACCGGGCTACTTTGAAATCACAAAGTTCAGAGATATACAGGTCCATTGTCTTTCATCCTCTTTTCTCTGAATCCTGTTTTCTTTGGAGTTGATTTATAACCTCTTTTATTTCAATCAGTAACTCCTCCATTTCTATGCAGGACGTGAAGATTGCCTCAGCTCCCTTTCTACTTGTTCGTATTCCCTCCCTTCGTATCCAGACCTCTGGCAGGCCTGAGGTGTTTGAGGCCAACCTGAAGACAGAGACTGAACTCTGGAACCTTGTGGTCAAAGAGATGTGGGCCGGACGCAAGATGGCCGATCAACACAAGGTAAAATCTCAAAACATTTTGACTGGCCTGGGAAGGAAACGGCCATGTTTGGGTTAGGGTTAGATTTCTGTAACGCTGATTTTCTGTGTCTAGGACCCTCAGTACATGACTCAGGCTCTGACCAATGTGCTGTTGATGGATGCTGTCATGGGCTGTGTGCAGACCCAGAGGTCCATTATTGCTGCCTCAAAGCTGGCTTACTTTGATAAGATTAAACATGAAGGTCTGGGCTCACTCTTGTTCTTCATCATCTACTTCTTGTTCTTGTTTTTTCTTTATTACTAGTATGTAATTGTACTAAAGTGTGTTATTTATCATGCTCGTTCTGATGTTGATGCCAAACCTGAATCATCATTATCCTTTATAGTTATTTCTTCTTCCCTCTCATGTGTCGCAATTTACACCCTTCTCCATTTACCCTCTCTTGAATGAATTCGCTCTTTGTGTTTGTGATGGTGTCCAGTGCCCATGATGGTGCCTAAAACTACCTCAGAGACGCTAAAACACAAGATCAACCCCTCACTGGACCTGGCTGAACCTCAGACTGTACATGTGCTGTTATACACACCAGGTACTATTTGGAGCAATTTGTGTGTCATTTTGTTGATAAGTATCCATTTTCGTGTGTTTAGCCTTATCTCAAATATATATATATAGATAAAGTAATGTGTGTGTATATATATATATATATATATATATATAACCTTATTCAATGGATATTGAGCCATTTGCCGGGGCATGTTTTGTCATTATTGGATCAGAGTTTGTTTGATACATGACAAATAAATGAACAAAAAAACAGTACTAACACACATCCCCTTGGTCTCGTTGTCATGGTGACAGTTGTATCATTTTTATAACCAGTAGCTTCATGCATTATATATCCCTGTTGCACTGTCATAGCTATTAAAAGTCATTTATAGTTCAGAGAATAAAAGATGTTGTGACAATCCATTTATTTATTTATAGTAATGAGTGTTCATAAACTGAACTGCTGTCTGAGGAGAGAGATTATCATGTGCCTCCCATTTTCTTTGATCTTTATTATATCTGTTTAAATCACTGTATAGCTGTATGTCTGCTGTACACTGACTGTTAAAGTCACAAGACACCCACTGTCAATTGGTGTTAAGTTGTCCTAATGAGCGTTGACATCAGAGTAGGGACAGGAATGACAAAGTAAGGGATAAAAATAAAGACAGAGGACAAAGCACAGACATGCTTCAATGGATATTTCTGTATCTGTGAAGGATTTTATAAGTTGGTATCAAAGCTCTGAATAAAAATCTGTTGTTGCTCAGCTTGGCTGGTTAAAACTTTTAGGTTTGCATGAAAACATGTCAACGTGATGACCTATATGTGAGTACTAATTGCACACTTGCGAAGTGTTCACGTGCACTGTGCAAAAATGTTTGTATCGCAACAGCTGCCTCAGGGAAACCTATCCACATAACCTGATTAGTCTTGTTGTGCTGTGTATTAGCAGGCAGGATAATAGTGGTGTTGTTAGTGTCTCAGTTGTTTACACTGTGACAGAACAAAAGCAGAGTATGTCCCATTTTGACATCAACCTCAAGAGCAACACACCAAAATAGTAGTCATTTATAGTATTTTTATCAGGACATTGGAAAAATAAAAATGTCAACTAATTAACTAGTTATTCTCTGTGTATTTATTGCCACTGCCCAGGAGACATTGATGAATAGCTGTCTTTGAAAACTAGAGAAGAGAGAGTGAAGGGTGGAGGTTTTCATGCCCACCCTGCAACATGTTTTTATTTATTTATTTATTAATTTTTACTGCAAACACTCTCTCGCAATTCACAGGTCCGCTGCGCTCTCTCTCTCTCTCTCTCTCTCTCTCTCTCTCTCTCTCTCTCTCTCTCCAGGTCAGTTGACGTGCAATGACTCAGAGGGTGAGATGAACCCGAAGCTGTGGGTGGCTCTCAGTGGGGGCAAAGTGGTTGTATTCGATGCAGCGAGCTGGTCCATGTTGCAGGACTGCATTCAGGTTGGAGAGTCAAAGCTGGTGAGAGCAGACGTTATGTACTCCATTATAAGGAGTAACATTTATTTAATTCTACACATCAGTCTTGGAGCATGACTGCGTGTGTGAAAAAAGTTTTGTGCCTCCAATGGGAGAGTGAAATCTGATAAATTTATTTGGGTCTGAAGACTATGAATTTGAAAATGAAAGAAAATGTGGGTGTGGAGTTAGAATGAAGTGAGATTAAGATTATATCTCTGGATCAGCTGCATCAATTTTTTTAACTTTTTGTTTTATCATCATGTTATGAGTCTGACTACGTTATAGGTTGTTAAACTCTATATAGCAAAGTCAAAAATAGATCTACTGTTTGCAGAATTTGTATGTGATTAAATGGTCTTAAACATTATTGTAAAAGAGAAATCTAAAAACTCAGATCTACCACTTTGTTGAACCTCTCACTGGAGGCTGCAAAGTTGTAAATGTTCAATTTCTACACTTAAAAAAATCCTGTATTTAAATATTTTTTGCACACTGACATTTTCTGTATTGTATCTCTTTTATGCAGATATTTGTTACAATTTTGTTATGGAAACCAATGTACATAACAACATACACACAAAATAACATAAGCTATATTGTGTATTTACAGATGTAAAATGTATAAATCATAATAATTATTAAAACTGAGATCCCATGTCACATCTTCTGTGTAGAACTGCATGCTGGGATTGGTCCAGGAGCAGGTTTGGATTGGCTCCCAGGACTCTGTAATCTACATCATTGACACTCACAGCATGTCCTGCAACAAACAGCTGACTGAGCACAGACATGAAGTTACTGGCCTCACCGTGGACACCAGAGATCAACACAACAGGTAGAGACATGACGGACTCCACTTCGGTCATCAGTTACTGCTCATTAAACATTAGTCTAAACTTGTAAGCAGACATGTTGCAGCACTGTAGGCGTATACAGAGCAGAACAATCACTCGTGTCTCTCTCTCTCTCTCTCTCTCAGTCAGCAGACATACTCCTGCAGCAGTGATGGGATGATCCTGCAGTGGGACTCGGCCAGTCTCAAAGTGAAGCGACAGCTCCACCTGAGCTGTGACCGTCTCTCCTCCATACAGATCCATGATGGCACGTTGTGGTGCTGTAAGTACACTTCCTTACCTTTTTTGTTTTCTAATCTTAAACTCTTATTTCATGTACATTTTTATCTGTACAATTAGTGCTCCCTTGTTGAGGTAAATGTACCAACTCCACTCACTCTTGCACAAACATTTTGTGTGACTGACACAATATACCCAACTGTAATATTGTGTGCATTCATGTGGTTTTTGTATTCCTTCTTTACAATTACAGGCATCGTCATGGTGTTGTGTACATGACAACCTTGAGACCTTCATTCCTGTGTGAAAAAAACCAACAGTGTTAGTTTACATTGTACTTCTGCTTTATAAGCAAAAAGGATCCTGATAATGATTTGTTGAACAGAAGCGTCTGTGTATGTGCAGGTTGTGGTGACCGCATTGTGGAATTAAAAAAGAGTGGGATACCACAGCGTTGGATGACACTTCCTGACGACCTACTGAGCGTGCCCAGTAGCTTCAGCAGCTTCATTGTCATGCCAGAGGTGACTTGAACTAATCCAATATGTCAGTCTATTACACGAGGTAGCAGCCATTTTTTTTTTTTGTCAGTCAATTATGTTTTAACATGGAAGTAGAAGTCACTGCAACCGCGAAAACTAAGAGATTCAAATATTTACTGACATTTCCCAACATGTGGATATCTAGATACAAAAATGTTATAATTTATGTGGGTGTCAGACATGTTGTTATGCATAAAGACAGCTAGGCACGTTTTTGTAAGCGTATGTACAGGCTAAAAGTATGTATGTGACTTTACTTTCTGTGTGTGTGTGTGTGTGTGTGTGTGTGTGTGTGTGTGTGTGTGTGTGTGTGTGTGTGTGTGTGTGTGTGTGTGTGTGTGTGTGTCTGTTCCAGCGAGGTCAGTTGTGGACGGGCTGTGTAGACTCGGGGGAGCTGTGTCTCTGGCACACCCACAACCACAGGCATCTATCCAAAAGAATCCCCCTGCCAGGCAGTTCAGGAGTCACCTGTATGATTCGCGTGAAGGACCAGGTGAGCTATGATAACATGTCACGTCACGAAGTTATCTTGTAATTGTTTTAGTTTGTTATCTATATTTTGTATAATACTTAAGAGTTGCTGAAAGGTGTACGTAAATAAATATGGTGTTTATTTTATGCAGTGAGAGCTGAGCAACAACTATTTGATTGACTGAAAAATAATTTGCAACTATTTTGATAATTAAATATTTATTGTTGTCATTTTTCAGCTTCTCAAATGTGAGGATTTGCTTTTCTTTTTCTACATGATTGTAAATTGAATATTTTGGTGTCCTGGATCAGTGGTCAGACAACACAAAGCATGAGAAATAATCAGCAGATTAGTTGCAGTCCCAACATGCTATAATATAAATAGGGACCTTTGTTGTTTTTCTGCTTGGAATTGTTGTAGCTGACTCTCATCTCATCGCCATTTTGGTCTTTTTCTACCACAATCGTCACTTTGTGACTGCCTTTCCTTGATGTCCTGTCCTCCCCTCAGATCTGGGTGGGCTGTCGTGGCCGGAGCGGTGTCGGAGGTCATTGTGACGGTCACCTGAGGAGTCAGGTGTTGGTGGTGGACCCAGAGAGCCACACTGTGGCTAAGGAACTGCAGGCTCATTCAGACAGCATCCAGACACTCTGCTCAGCTGAGGATCGCTACGTCCTGAGTGGCTCCGCACGCCGTGATGGCAAGATCGCCATCTGGAAAGTCGAGTAGAGAAGAGCGACAGAGAAAGCAACAGAATGGAAAGAGGTGGGTACAAGTGAGGCAACAGAGGAGCATGGGGAGAAGAAAGAAGAAAAACACAGAAGGCACTTTAAAGGAAAGCATGACATGAATGAGGGTCGGGATACAAAAGAGTAACAAAGAAAAACAGAGAAGTGCAGAGGAAAGTTCTTTTCTTTCACTTGGCGAAGCAGCTTTTTAAAGCCACATTTCAATGGTAATTGAAGTTTTCTGCTCAGAGCTATAATTAATTAAGGACACAAAATGATGAAAGCAGCTCTTAAAAATGACATTGTGAGACTTATATGGAAGTGTGAGCCCTTGGAGCAAAGTACAGTACACTGAATGTAACAAAGATGTGCTTACTGACGCTGGTCTTGGACGACGAAGAGCAGATCTTTTTCTTCTTGGAAACAAACCTTCTATGCACATGGAGTGTGAAAAAGATCAAGTCTGTTCCTGCTGTATGTTCTGTTTTAAAAAAAAAAAAAAAAAAAATCATTTTATTTAGTCTAGATGTCAGCAGCAGTCAGATATTGAAATGTCACAATGTAATTGTCATTCACATTTTATTGTCAAGCACTGCTAATAAATTGCATTTTCAGGTATTGTCACTTACTGTTGCTTACTTTTTGGGTGTTTGCCTGAAATATTAGTCATACTACAGTCAACTGTCTGCCTGCTATGACATTTAACCTGGGTACTGCTTCAAAGAATCACATTTTTGAAGCAATGCAATGGTTTAATTGTTGTTGACTGAATCAGTACATTAAGCTGTTATCAATTTTTTGTCAATTTCATTTGTCAATGATGTATTGATTCCTGCTAAAATAATCAATATCAAATTTCTCTTTGAAACATCTTTGTGCATATTGTACATTCTTAGACACGAGGCTCTTTGTGGTGCCAGATCAATAAAGAAATCGTGCACGTCTAGCCTTAAGCATTAAACCAGACAGAACATTTTCCAGAGTGAATCTCAAGTGCAACATTGAATGAGTCTGCATTTGTTAATCCCAGACTATTCAAATGCAGACAGCAACTCTAAAATTGACTAAAGATACAAACTTCAACACAAAAACACATGAAGCAATGTGGAATTCAACAATGTTGCTGCTTTTGTTATCAATTTGAGGTCATGATTGGTCTTAAATTTCTTTATTAGTACAAATACAATGCAGCCACAGTCACAGAGCTGGAACACAACAAATCTGTGTGAATTATTCAACAATGGCTTCCAGTAATGATTACCTTTATACTTTCTTAAAAGGATTTAGGCAGACTCTTGAATATTATATAATGTTAACATTAAAAGACAGGATAAGCTATAAATACATAGATTACAGAGTAAGCTTTCATGCATATGGATGGAAGGATGGATGGATGGATGAAAGAGCCTCTCTGGTCTCAGTAGTATAACTCCTGATCCCACCAACCTGTGAGAGCACAAGCCATAGATTAATGAATAATTAATGGAATGGAATGAATCTACAGTATGGATGTTAATGATGAATGGATGTTTAATGGCAGGTTGAGGTTAGTGGAGAATAATGAATCTTGGCTTACTTCCTGGGTATCTTCTGACTCCTAACTTCCTGATCTCATCGTAGACAAAGATTAAAATACCATATGGAAGAGGAACAAACCACCACTGGACCCTGAAGTAAAAACACAACATGTGATGTTAGACCTCAGCTTTCTTTTGTTTCTAATATAGAAGAAGTGATGAGTGTAGAACACAAATAACTTTCTACTTGTGGGTTCTATATTTATAATGTTTTCATTTGAAATGTGTGTCCTCAGAATTCACAACAAGAGACCAAGTGTTTCCTATAATTCAGTCTGAGCTTTGATTTCAGAGGGTGACCATGTGAATGAGGCCTTTTACCTGATGGGCATGAAATTGAAGATATTGGGCATTCCAGGGCAGTAACAAAGCAGGTTACCAAGGCAGAGCTGGAAGACAATGGCAGTAACCAGGACACGGTTCCTGTACAGAAATACACACATAAATAACCAAATGCCCAGCTGGTTCAGGTTTAATTGCTTCCATATAAAATGGTCTCAAAACCCCAAAGAGATCGGTTGCCTCTACTTGGAAATGAGTACGTGAGATAAAATTTTTATACAGCTGTAACAGAAATGCAATTTCCAAGTTTCAAATCTTCATAAATCATAAAATATGGTGTTTAATAAGGTATTTAAAGCATGTGCTTTGGATCCAGAGAACAATCTGCTCATGAAAAGGAGCTATATACACTTTTTGTATCTGATTTCTTAATGAACCGCTCCAAATTTATATATCCAACCATCTTGGAATAAGTTGCTGATGCCGACGTATATGTGAATGCAGTATAAGCCCAAGAGTTGTGAATGTTAACATGGTACAGACAAAGAATTAAACCTGTAAATGTTAATGTTATAACTGTATCTATTAAAATACACTATACTGGACGAGTCATGTGAGGGATGGATCTTCACTGACCTGAAGAAGCCTTGCTGGAACACAGACAGACGTCGAGTCTTCCTGATCAACACATCAGAGATCTGACAGATCTCTATACTGACGAAAAATACAGTGTAGCACGTATACTCCTGGTACAGCCTCTGGCTGAATGTCTGTAAGTAGAGGAGGGGATTTAAGGGAGGAGTTATTTAGTTTGTTTGCTGATAAAAATATAAATACTCCCTTGACCAAACCACTTTCTCTAGGTTTAACACAGGAGGCAAAAATATGCCTGTAAAAGGTGGGATCTCTAAGTCAGTACTAACCCATTCTTGGCCATAGCTGTCCTGTAAGTCTTGAAGGTGAACATCCTCCCACTGAGAACGCAGGCCGACACACAAGAGTGGAAACCAGCCCTCCTGGGCCATGGCTGTGAAATAATCTGTAAAACCTGCAAAAGACTGGATGGCTCCTAAAAGAGAGAAAGAAAAATGGGTCGATACTGTTTTAGTAGTATATAAATCTAGCTCATTGGCTGTGTGGCATTATTCAGTGATCATACGAGGCCGTGGCTCAGCTCCTCAGAGTGCACTCTGTTACAGGTACTGTCTCATCTGCTTTTTTGTTCTGTTAAAAACCTGTTTACCAATGTCTGTTAGCAGGCAATGCATGTATTCATAGAACTGGAGATATACTCATGTGTGTCTATTTCATGTCCATGTGAAGTTAAGTATTCAGTTCAATATAGTTAGTGCTATAGTAATACCAAGTATGCATGTTTTGTTGACCGGCACAGACGCACACATCAGTCTCACCTATCTGGAAGTACGAGTACGCAGCCAGGGCTTCGTTTACCAAACGATCACGACGGGGGTTCCTGGGCTTCAGGTGCATAATGTCGCTCTCTGCTTTCTCATAAGCCAGAGACACAGAGGGGAACTACAGGAGAGACAGGAATAAACAAAAACCATATCACTATGCAGCAGATAGGGGAGCGAGGAAGATAATCATCTGCTGTAAAGACCGAGGCTGGTGTTCAAAAATGAATCATCATCTGTTATGATAATAAATTGCAACTGTAATGACCTATTAACTCACAATGTCGGTTGCCAGTTCAATGAAGAGGATAGTGATGCAGCCCAGAGGAAGAGGCACACTGACGGTGATGTAGATCAAATATGGAGTCAGCTCAGGAATGTTTTTGGTTAGTGTGTACGCAATAGACTTCTTCAGGTTGTCAAAGATAAGACGGCCTACAGGCAAACACACACACACACACACACACACACACACACACACACACACACACACACACACACACACAAAGTTCATACAGTGGTCACTGTACGAATCATCTACCTCCATATTCCCCCTTGTGGAAGTACATTCTGGTCACTAGGATCTTTCTTCTATCTTATCTCTTAAAAAAGCTCAGTGTATATGAACAACACGTATACACTATACTGTTAATTGTTCAGCACAAACTTGATATGGACATCAAGTTTTTATTTTTATTTTTTCTACTGAGCCTCACCTTGCTCCACTCCAGTGACAATAGAAGCGAAGTTGTCGTCCAACAGGATCATATCTGCAGCGTTCTTGGCAGCATCTGAACCAGCGATCCCCATGGCGACGCCAATATCAGCCCTCTTAAGAGCCGGTGAGTCGTTCACACCATCTCCTGTTACAGCCACGATAGAGCCCTGGTGGGATGAAGGACGAAAAAAAAAAACTCTTTCACAAGCCTGAAAGTGCAGTTTGATCATTCACACTGGATATATGAAGACATGCAAACCAATCTCTTCCCCTGCTGCTTATTTGTAAATTCAATTAGTCAGTTAAGAAGACAGGTAGTAAAGCAAAAGGTGTGTGTTTGTGTGTGTGTGTGTGTGTGTGTGTATTTACCAGACGTTGACAACTCTCCACAATAATCAGTTTCTGCTGGGGTGATGTTCTCGCAAACACCATCTCAGGATGGTTCCGTAGTGCATCATCTAAGTCGTCACTGCTCATCTCTTTCAGCTGACCACCGCTGATCACACAAGCACGGGCGTCACTGCACACAGACGACACAGAGTTACACAAGCATGCATCCAGATACGACAGCTCATTGAATCGTTTGTGAATCTCGAAGGGATGATGATGATGAATCCTGTGGTTCACTTATTAAGAAATACAAAATTATACAGGAATGGATAGCTAGTTAACACACTGTTCAAAGTGCGGACAGCACTGATTCAATACCTCTTGTTGACCTGTTCGACAGGTATGCGCTTCCTCTCGGCGATATCTTCCACTGTTTCGCTGCCTTCTGAGATGATACCAACATTTGCTGCTATTGCCTTTGCTGTAATTGGATGGTCTCCAGTCACCATGACAACCTTTGGTTTCAAAATATTTTAAAAAACATTTCTGAGACAGGTAGATAAACATAAAACAACTCACAAAGTGAAAACAGCATCTCGGCCTAACCAAAGTAATCACACTCATGTTTTTTTTTTTTTTTTTTAGAATTCAAAACCAGCCCAAACAATCTGTTTATGTGCATGTGTGGCAATGTGAACAACACACCCTGATGCCGGCAGTACGACATTTCATCACTGCATCTGGTACAGTGGCTCTTGGGGGGTCAATCATTGAGATGAGACCAGCAAAGCACAGTCCTGTCGTGGTGAAATTCATCTCATCAGGGTCGAATCGATAGCCACGAGGAAACTCTTTCTCATTAAGATAGAGATGACAGAAGCCTGAGAGGGGAGGAAAGGATTGTTAAAAAACACAACTAATAGTAATAATAATTACTTTTTGCTTTCAGTATATAGGGACATAATAGCAAGCCTCAGGATTAGGCCACATCAGCGTTACTAGAAGAGCTTTCTAACCCAGTACTCTCTCTCCCAGTCCTCCCAGGTCCATGTAAGCGGTCTGAAACGCTTCTTTCCACTGCTCATCCAGAGGCAGCTCCTGGCCTTTTATCAAAATGGTGGAACAGCGCTCTAAGATACGCTCAGGTGCTCCCTTCATCACCAACAGGTAGCGT